ACTCAAAAGTCAACTCACTCCATTGTCTTGGTTCAAGAGCGGGTAGATTCTTTTAGAATTCTCCATTGTCGCGGTTCAGGAGCAAGTAGATTTGGATGTGAGTGTACTACATCCCTACCCGTGTTGTGTTCATTTCGCTATCACATGTCCCATCCCACCATTGCAATCCTCCCATCCCACCATTGCAAATCCTCCATCCCACCATTGCAATCCTCCCATCCCACCATTGCAATCCTCCCATCCCACCATTGCAATCCTCCCATCCCACCATTGCAATCATCCCATCCCACCATTGCAATCCATCCCACCACCCATTGCAATCCTCCCATCCCACCATTGCAATCCTCCCATCCCACCATTGCAATCCTCCCATCCCACCATTGCAATCCTCCCATCCCACCATTGCAATCCTGCCGTCCCTGTATCCCCTCTAGTGGCTGCTTCGCTGCACGCGCGCCCACTGCCGCTACAAGAAGGCGTTCACATTCCCACATTCACCATTCATGGAGGTAAGTTGTTGTTTATTCAGCTTGGTTTTTACTTTCAAAAGTGTATGTTCATCCTTGTAATCGACTTAAGACTTTCAGTGTAACCAAGTAGTAAATCTTTACGTGAAGCTCTTCATAAAAAGCATAGTTTTTTTGTACTATATCAACCTTAAGCGCAACCTTGTCACTACTGGAAGGATTGCACTTGTTCATATGTCTATAATTATTGAGGGCGCCTGTAAAATTGCGGGATAAAAGTCGCCTTTTGAGGCGCCTCAAAAGTCATCCTGTTATTCGCCCCATATTTACTTGTTCATGTGTCTATAATTACTCTTTTACACCCCGTGTTTTGCTGCTCCTTCTGTGATTACCCTTCCGCCCCCCAGGGTTGGGTCTGCACTGATCAAAATGCAGAGAGCAAGGTGGAGAAGGAAGAGGATGAGAAGGCAGATAGAGGGAAGGAAGCAGAGGGAGGGAAGGAGAAGAGGAAGGGGAAGGAGAAGGGGAAGGAGAAGGGGAAGGAGAAGGGGAAGGCGAAGGAGGGGAGGGAGAAGCTGAGGCTGGTGGGGATGGACTGTGAGATGTGTGAGACGTGGGATGATGAAGAATCCATGGAGCTCACACGGGTCTCTGTGGTGGACGACAAGGGCAAGGTGAGATGTGGTGCAGCGCGGTGAAGTGCGGTGCATTGGTGAGCTGTGAGTGGCAAGGCTGGTTGGTGGTGGGGATGGATGTGTGAGACGTGGGACGATGAAGAGCCCATGAAGCTGACACGCGTCTCTGTGGTGGACGGCGACAAGGGCAAGGTGAGACGTGGTGGAGTGCGGTGGAGTGCGGTGCAATGTGGTTGGGTGAGATGGGGATGGTGGGAGAAGCTGAGGTTGGTGGGACGATGAAGAACCCGTGGAGCTCACGGGTCTGTGTGGTGGATTGCAAGGGCAGGGCAGGGCGAGATGCGGTGCAGTGCGGTGTGGTATGGTGCTGTGTGGTGATGTGCAGTGCAAATGGTAAGATGCGAATGGCAAGTGAGGTTGTTGTTGGTGATGGAGTGTAATTTTTTTTTTGGCTGATCGGTTGGTGAAGCCACAAGAGGGGGGTGAAGTAGTATGTGAGTGATGTACTTTTGAGATTTCAATAGAGCACCAAGTAGGTGCCATGGTTTCAATACGTGGCAGCAACTCTTTTGGATTGACTGAAGTGGTATGTGACTGATGTTTCTTTCGAGAATTCACAAAAGTAACATCAACGAATGTGACTGAGATCACGGGGTTGAAGGAGGCGGGTTTCAGGACGGCAGTTCAATTTCTTGTTCAACACTCTTTTCTTCCTCTTCTCTTCCCTTTCTCCTTCTTCCTTCGTCGTCCCTTACAGGTGCTGTTGGATCGGCTGGTGAAGCCACAGAGGGAAGTGAAGTCGTATGTGACTGAGATCACCGGCCTAAAGGAGGAGAATTTCAAGACGGTCCAATACACGTGGGAGGACGCACAGGTGCGTTGTGCGTGTCTAACACATGCTTGGCGTGAGTGTGCATGGTTGCCACACACACAAGGTGACTCGTGAGCCAATTCAAGAGTCACTGGATGAGATCACCGGGCTGAAGGACGAGGATTTCAAGAAGGTCAGGGACACATTGGAGGACGCACAGGTGCGTTCTGTGTGTGTGTGTGATAAGTGCTTGTCGATTCACAAGTCACTTGAGAGATCACAGGGTTGATTGAAGGAGGAGGATTTTAAAAAGGTCAAATACACGTGGGAGGACGCACAGGTGTGTGCGTGTGACATGACATGACATGTGCTAGTCGTGAGTTTGTGTGGTTACCACTGCACACGAAGTGACTCGTGGGTTGATTCACAAGTCACTTGAGAAATCATTGGGTTGAAGGGAGAGGATTTGAGAAGGTCACATACACGTGGGTGGGAGGATGCACAGGTGCGATGTGTTTTTTGAGAAAAAATTATGTGTTTTTTGAGAAAAAAATAACAATAATAAGAGGGATCTGAGAAGGTCACATACATGTGGGTGGGAGGATGCACAAGTGCGATGTGTGTGTGACATGTGCTAAGGGGGAGTGTGTGTGGTTGCTGCACACATAAGGTGACTTGTGAGCTGATTCACAAGTCACTAGAGAGATCACAGGGTTAAAGGGGGGGGATTTGAGAAGGTCGCATACTCGTGGGTTAGAGGATGCACAGGTTTGTATGTGTGGAGGGACGAGGAGGAAAGGGGGAGAGGAGAAGTGGAGGGGGGTGGAGGGGGAGGGACAGGTGATTTTTTCAAGATTCTCTACTATTGCTGGTTGGGCAGCATGTGACTAGTGACATATATGGTGTGTGACAAGTCGAGTTTTGAGTCGACTCAAAACAAGATTCTCTACTATTGCTGGTTGGGCAACATGTGACATACATGGTGATGAGCACATGTCTAAAGTATTGCTAATCGCTTCCAAGTTCTCACTTCCTGCCTTTCCTGCCCTCCCGCCACTCCCCCTCTTTTCCTCCTACTCTGTCTGACGTGGCATGCCAGCGTGACGTGGCGGCACTGCTGACACCCAACACAGTGCTGGTGGGGCACCACGTGTCCTGGTGACATGGATGGTGAGCCTGCTGACGTGGACGAACACATGCTGCATGGCATGTGGATGTGTCCAAGCTGCACGGCACTCTTCATGCCCTCACCTATCCGTCCCATTTCTGACATCTCGGTTGTGGACGAGGATTGATGGCTTTTGAGTGTTTGCAGTCTCTATTGGTGCGACTTTTGAGAATTCTCAAAGGTTGTGGACGAGGATTGAATGTGATGGCTTTTTTGAGTCGACTCAAAAGTCATCTCGGTTGTGAACGAGTATCAATCATGTTCTATTTGCCGTGTTTGAGTCATCGACTCAAAACACGGCTCCATCCCATTTCTGACATCTCGGTTGTGAAAAAAGTATCAACTATCTGCTATTTGCCACTTGCGATAGTTTGCCCTTCTGTCTGTGGCTGCTGTTTTTCTTACCATGCCTCACCACTTTCCCGTCTTGACCTCACCTGAGAGGCTGACCTCACCTGAGAGGCTGAGCCTTTGTGTGTTCTCTTGTGCCACATGCATGCATGCATGCACATGTTGACACATATACATGGTGCATCCATGCAACCATGTCATGTCATCCCATCCCATGCAGTGCTCAAGATAGACCGTCCATTGGCCATCGACACATCGCTGCTCTTCCGCTATGCCTCAACCTGAGGCGCCTCAAAGCCTTGCCGTACCATCTCATCCCATGCCATCCCGTCCCATCCCATGCTATGCCATCCCATGCAGTGCTGAAGATAGACCATCCATTGGTCATCGACACATCGCTGCTCTTCCGCTACTCATCAAAGGACTCCAATATGTCTACCGTTCAGCTACCCCTGGCTCTCGTTGCTCTGGTGAGTGCACCTCACTCACTGCATGGCATTGCACTGGCACAGCATGGCCTTGGGTTGGTCATCGACACATCACTGCTTCTTCCGCTACTCATCAATGGACTCCAACATGTCCACCGTTCAGCTACCCCTGGCTCTCGTTGCTCTGGTGGAGTCGTGCGCGGCATAACATTGCATTGGCACTGCATGGGATTGGGTAGTCAGTTCCTCCCCCAGCCGTCTCTCTTCCGCTACTCATCAATGGACTCCAACATGTCCACCGTTCAGCTACCCCTGGCTCTCGTTGCTCTGGTGAGTCCGTGCGCGCATAACATTGCATTGGCACTGCATGGGATTGGGTAGTCAGTTCCTCCCCAGCCGTCTCTCTTCCGCTACTCATCAATGGACTCCAACATGTCCACCGTTCAGCTACCCCTGGCTCTCGTTGCTCTGGTGAGTCGTGCGCGCATAACATTGCATTGGCACTGCATGGGATTGGGTAGTCAGTTCCTCCCCCAGCCGTCTCTCTTCCGCTACTCATCAATGGACTCCAACATGTCCACCGTTCAGCTACCCCTGGCTCTCGTTGCTCTGGTGAGTCGTGCGCGCATAACATTGCATTGGCACTGCATGGGATTGGGTAGTCAGTTCCTCCCCCAGCCGTCTCTCTTCCGCTACTCATCAATGGACTCCAACATGTCCACCGTTCAGCTACCCCTGGCTCTCGTTGCTCTGGTGAGTCGTGCGCGCATAACATTGCATTGGCACTGCATGGGATTGGGTAGTCAGTTCCTCCCCCAGCCGTCTCTCTTCCGCTACTCTTCAATGGATTCCAACATGTCTACCGTTCAGCTACCCCTGGCCCTCGTTGCTCTGGTGAGTCGTGCGCGCATAACATTGCATTGCCACTGCATGGGATTGGGTAGTCATTTCCTCCCCCAGCCGTCTCTCTTCCGCTACTCATCAATGGATTCCAACATGTCTACTGTTCAGCTACCCTGGCTCTCGTTGCTCTGGTGCGTCAATCACTGCACTGCATGCTATTCAACCCCAACTCGAGTGCAACCCATCTCTCTTCCGCTGTCCATCCATGGATTCCAACATGTCTACTGTTCAGCTACCCCTGGCTCTCGTTGCTCTGGTGCGTCAATCACTGCACTGCATGCCATTCAACCCCAACTCGAGTGCAACCCATCTCTCTTCCGCTGTCCATCCATGGATTCCAACATGTCTACTGTTCAGCTACCCCTGGCCCTCGTTGCTCTGGTGCGTCAATCACTGCACTGCATGCCATTCAACCCCAACTCGAGTGCAACCCATCTCTCTTCCGCTGTCCATCCATGGATTCCAACATGTCTACTGTTCAGCTAACCCTGGGTTCAAGATGTGGCAGGCAGGGCAGCACATCCCAGCACGGCAGTGTGGAGGGCTCGTTTAAGTGCCTCAACAACATACCAACCTTCTCTCTCCCCTTCGTCCCACCCTTCCTCCCCCGTCCCCCCCTTAAGAGAAGGTTGGTATGTTGTTGAGGCACTTAAACGAGCCCTCCACACTGCCGTGCTGGGATGTGCTGCGCTGCCCTTCCTCCCCCGTCCCCCCCTCATGCATTGCAGCGTGACATGGCTACAAGATGCCGGCAGGGAGACACATCCCACCACAACAGTGGGGAGGACTCGTTGACTCCTGTCCGAGCACTTCAAGCGATTTTGTCTCCCCTTTCACCATCTCCCACCTCCCCACTGTTGCAGCGTGACATGGGCTACAAGATGCGGCAGGGAGACACGTCCCACCACGACAGTGGGGAAGGCTGTCTAATCCCCGTCCAAGTGCCTCTTGAGTTCCTGTTCCATTCCCACACCCTCTCCTCCCTGCTCCCCCCTTGCAGCGCGATATGGGTTACAAGATGAGGCAGGGCGACACGTCCCACCACGACAGTGTGGAGAACTCACTCATTCCCGCCCTAGTCACGACCACCAGTAGCCTTCTCTCACGACCACCAGTAGCCTTCTCTCACGACCACCAGTAGCCTTCTCTCACGACCACCAGTAGCCTTCTCTCACGACCACCAGTAGCCTTCTCTCACGACCACCAGTAGCCTTCTTCACCACCAGTTCCGACCACCAGTAGCCTTCTCTCACGACCACCAGTAGCCTTCTCTCACGACCACCAGTAGCCTTCTCTCACGACCACCAGTAGCCTTCTCTCACGACCACCAGTAGCCTTCTCTCACGACCACCAGTAGCCTTCTCTCACGACCACCAGTAGCCTTCTCTCACGACCACCAGTAGCCTTCTCTCACGGACCACCAGTAGCCTTCTCTCACGACCCACCAGTAGCCTTCTCTCACGACCACCAGTAGCCTTCTCTCACGACCACCAGTAGCCTTCTCTCACGACCACCAGTAGCCTTCTCTCACGACCACCAGTAGCCTTCTCTCACGACCACCAGTAAGCCTTCTCTCAGCCCTCCCCCGTCGCCCATCCCCCGCACTTCCACATTCATCCGCCTCCCATCCAGAGTGACATGGTCCTTCAAGATGCGGCAAGGCGACCACATCGCACCACGACAGTGTGGAAGACTCACTGGTTCCCAGTCCGACTGGTTCAGAAGGCTGCCGGCATCAACATAATACCAACCTTCTCTCTCCCCCTCCTCAACCCCTCCCCTCCCTTTCCTTGCAGCGTGACATGGGCTACAAGATGCGGCAGGGCGACACGTCCCACCACGACAGTGTGGAGGACTCACTGGGTTCCCGTCCGACTGGTTCAGACGGCTGTTGCCTCTGACGCTCTCCTCCCCACGCCCATCCAGCCGCTCTCCGCCATTGTAAGTCCCACCCACCTGTGTCAATCACACCACGACAGTGTGGAAGACTCCTTGATTCCCGTTCGGCTGGTCCAGACGGCCGTCGGCACTTCTGCACTGCTCCCCACGCCCATCCAGCCGCTCTCCGCCATTGTCAAGTCCCAACCACCACCTCACACTCTATCAATGCATATCGAACATAAGCCTGAGAGAGGCCCAACCGCTGTGCTATCCGATTTCCCACCCGGGCACGGCTGTGCTATCGATCGAGTCCTATCAGCCTTCCAAGTGAGGTGTTTGCCTGGCTCACTCGTTTCACTCCACTCCCCCTCACTCCCAACCGCTCCATCTCACTCCTCTTGCCACACTCGTTTCACTCCACTCCCCCCATCACTCCCACTCACTTCACCTCGCTCCTCTTGCCTCACTCGTTTCACTCCATTTTCCTTCCCTCACCCTCTCACCTCCAACTCACTCCATCTCACTCCTCTTGGCTCTCTCCTTTCACTCCCCTCCCTCTCACCCACTCCCCTCCCTACTCCACCCTCTCTCGCTGCTAGGTTGGCAAGTAGTTGATGCGGGAGCTGACCATTGCCACTCCACTCCATCTCACCGCCTCTCACCCCTTCCACACCGTTCTCACCCATTCTCACTCCCTCTCAATCCTCTCACTCGTTGCACTTCACCCTCTCTCCCTGCTAGGTTGGCAACTATCTGATGCACGAGCTGACCATTGCCACTCCACTCCATCTCACCTTCTCTCACATCCACTCTCACCCTTCTCTCGCCCTTTTCACCCCTACTCACCCATTCTCACCCTACTCACCCATTCTCACTCCTCTCAATCCTCTCACTCCACTCTCTCGATCCCTGCTAGGTTGGAAACTATCTGATGAGGGAACTGACCGTTGACAGCCTGCCACGTGGCACTACTCCAGAGATGATCCTTGCCTTGCTGGCGCATTACGAGAGGAGGAGGATGGAAGCGAAGAGAGGGGAGGAGGAAGAGAAGGGGACAAGCGAGGGGCAGGAGGGGCCGGAGGAGGGGGAAGGGAAGGGAAAGAAGGGGAAGAAAGGGAAGATGGTCAAGAAGGGGAAAAAGGGGGAGAGAGAGGGGGAGGGGAAGAAAAAAGGGGACGAGGAAGGGGAGAAAGAAAAGGAGAATGAGGAGGAGGATGAGACAAGAATCTGGGTTCCGGGGCAGCAGAAGGATGAGGATGACATGATGCCATGGGTTACGGTAGGTGGCGATGGGTGCCGGTAGGTGGTGATGCGATGGGGGGCATAGGGGGCCATGGGGGTATGAGTACTTGGGTTCCTTCCGGGGCAGCAGAAGGATGAAGATGACATGATGCCATGGGTGACTGATGGTAGGTTGTGATGATGGATTGATGGGATAAAATGTAGTGGCATGGTGTGTGGGGGCACGCGGGCGTGAACAATACTAATCTGGGTTTTGGGGCAGCAGAAGGATGAGGATGATGGCATGATGCCATGGGTGACGGTAGGTGGTGATGTGATGGGATATTGTAGTTGCATGGCATGATGGCATGAGGGCATAGCGGGGCATGAGGGCATGGGTACTTGAGTTCCGGGGCAGCTGAGGGATGAGGGTGATGGCATGATGCCATGGGTGACGGTAGGTTTTGATGATGGGATGTTGTAGTTGCATGGCAGAGACATGAGGGTTGGGGACATGAGGGCATAGGGGGGCATGGGGGTATGAGTACTTGGATTCTGGGGCAGCAGAAGGACGAAGATGACATGATGCCATGGGTGACGGTAGGTGGTGAGGCGATGGCATGAGGCATGAGGGTATGAGAGCATGAGACCACACGCGAAATAATAATATAAGTTTTCGGGCAGCAGAAGGATGAGGATGACATGATGCCATGGGTGACGGTAGGTGGTGTGATAGCATGATGGATGGGACGATGGGATATTGTAGGGACATAGCATGAGGGCATTGGGGCATGGGGGTCTGAGTACTTGGGTTATGGGGCAGAAGGACGATGAAAGATGACATGATTGCATGGGTGCTGGTATGTGGTGATGTGATGGTCTGACGGGATGGTGGGAGAGTGATGGTGCTGCTCATTGGAAGATATCCCAATGATGGTTGGGTTGGGTCAAGTCATCCATCCAACATCCACCACTTGGTCACGGGTAACCTCATCCTTTGAACAAATTTGAGGCGCCTCAGAAAGTGCTCTCATTCTCTGAACTGTCAATTTTGAGAATTCTCGAATCGGAGGCGCATCAGAAAAGAGATGTCATTTTTAAACAGATTTAGAGGCGCCTCAGAGGTGATCCCATTCTCTTATGTCCCCTCTCCTCCTCTTCTGGGTTCTCCCCTCATGAGCCTTGTCTTGGTTATCCCATGTATACTTGCCCTTCCTCTTCTGGGTTTTCCTCAGCTCTGCTCCTTCCCTTTTTGACTCTTCCCCTTGTGCAAACTCACGCTTTTTCTTCACCTACCACTCCTCTCCCCGACTGCTCTTCCCTCTCTCTTTTCTACCCCAGAAATCCTGACCCAACCACAGGGGTGATGGCTGCTTCGCTCGCGTGCACTGCCGCTTCCCATCCTCCACTTTCACCCTGCCTTGGCCTTATTCCCTTCTCCTCTCCCCCTCCTTTCTCTCCATAAAAAACCTCGACTCAAAGGCAGGGGTGATGGCTGCTTCGCTCGTGTGCACTAACCCTTCCCTCCTGCACTCCCCATCCCGGTCCTCTCTTCCCCTCGTGCAAACTCACCCTCTTTTTTCTCCTCCCACTCCTCTCCACTCCCCCTCTCCTCTCTCCCAGAAACCTCGACCCAGCGGCAGAGGTGATGGTTGCTTCGCTCGTGTGCACTACCCCTTCCCTTCGTCCGCTCTCGCTCTCTTCCACTCTCTTCCAGGGGAGATTGAAGCGGTAAGCAAGTCCAAGTGGATAAAATATACACGTAATCCTTTATCTTGGTTCCTCTCACACCGTTTGACCCTATGCTGGAGAAAGAAATATGAGGCAATACGCTTAGCTGACTACTTTTGAGGTGCCTTAAAACGTTTGGGGAGTCACGATACTTTTTGCTGGAGGAGAAAGTGAAGTGGTAAGCAAGAAGCTGACTTGCACCTTCGCCGTCTTTACTGTTTTCCCTCCCTCCCCTCATTCCAAGGACCCCTGGGGGCGGTGGAAGAAGAGGATTCCAGTACCAGAGCACCTGCAAAAGCACATCTATTGTATTGAATACCCCAGGGGCACAGGCAGTAGCAGCAGTACCAGCAGTAATGCATTTCTTTCTTGTGCCTGCTCTTGCCCCTTGCTGCTTATCAGGACCCCTGGGGGCGGTGGAAAAAGAAGATTCCAGTACCAGAGCACCTGCAGAAGCACATCTATTATATCGAATACCCCAGAGGCGCAGGTGGTAACAGCGGTATCCCTGTCTACCGGCCTGCGACAGAGGTGGTGGTGGCGTGTGGCGGCGATGGTAACCGCATGATCCACGGGGTTGGGGCGAAGATGCTCAGAGCCATGGGGGATCAACTGACACTTGTGTGTGAGGATGCTGATGATGTATGGGATGTGCTAGTAGGGAGGGAAGAGAAGGATGGGGAGGAGGAGGAGGAGGAGGAGGAGGAGGAGGAGGTGAAGCAGCTGGAGGCAGGGCAGGAGGAGAGGCAGTTGGAGCAGACGCGGGTGAGAGATGAGATTATGGCGAAGGCGAGAGCGGACATGAAGGCCAAGTGGAAGCAGATGCTTGCTATGGATGAGACCGACGAGTGCTTAGTTGAGAGTCTTTTAAGAAGCAGTTATTATGATGCGGTGGCTGCAGTGGAGAGGGCGAGAGGGGAGGGTGGGGGAGGGAAGGAAGGGGAGGTGGAGGTGCAGGTTGGAGAGGAGGGGATGGAGCGGGCGATTAGAGAGCTGATCTTGCGGCTGCAGAGGAAACAGGAGCTTCTGCAACAGCAGCAGCAGCAGCAGCAGCAGCGGCGGCAGCAGCAGGGAAAGTTGGCTCAAGGGCAGGTTGATGGAAGGATGCGTGATGGTGCTGATTTGGGGGAGTTGAGAAGGAGGCTAGCGCATAGGGAGATGGAGGTTGAGGTTTTGCAGAGGATGGTTATGTTCCTGGGGCATAGACTGTGGGGAGAGGAGGGGGAGGAGGAGGAGGGAGAGGAGGGAGAAGATGAGATGGAGTATGAGTTAGAGGAGGATTTTGAGAGAGAGGAGGGAGGAGTGGGGGTGGGGAATGGGTTGGAGATTGAGGGGGTGGGGGAGGAGATGGAGGGGGTGGGGGAGGGGGGAGGAGGAGGAGGAGGAGGAGGAGGAGGAGGAGGAGGAGGAGGAGGAGGAGGAGGAGGAGGAGGAGGAGGAGGAGGAGGAGGAGGAGGAGGAGGAGGAGGAGGAGGAGAGAGGAGGAAGAGGAGGAAGAGGAGGAAGAGGAGGAAGAGGAGGAAGAGGAGAGAGAAGAGGAGGAGGAAGAGGAGGACGAAGAGGAGGAAGAAGAGGAAGACGAGGAGGGTGAGGAGCAGGAGGAAGGGGAGGAAGAGGAGGAATAACAGGAAGAAGAAAGGAAGGAAAAATAGGGAGGAAGAGGAGGAAGCGGAGTAGGGTGAGCTCAAGGACTTGCAGAAAAGGAGAAAACAGATATCCAGTCAGCGTGGAGGGAAAATGGTTGCGACTCAATGTGCAAGGGCTAGCTAAAGTTGAATGAGCAAGTGAGGATGCAACAGAGTGAAAAGCAGTAAGACAGTGTTTCTGGCGTCTCTAATTCAGGGGTAGCCGTATTCATAATCTACTCTGAACTAATGCATTTTGATCGTAGCCGATCGTGGGTCATAATTGTAGCTGATTGTGGTGGATGACATGCACAAGGTGCACACCTTGCTGCTACATGTTCAGGTTTGAGGTGGCCCAGTATTTCCTTATGAAAGAGTTGGGAAGAAGAGGGGAGGGAAGCGAGGGAGGGAGGGGGATGGAAGAGAGCGGAGCTGAGGGGAGTAGCTCAATCCAATTCAGTAGACAAAAAGGGCTTAAAATCAGGCAATTTCTGAAAACTGAACATATTGGAAGATCCATTCAGTTCAAGGGCACGATTCGCATTTTGCCTAGCCGTACTTTATGAGCAGTCATGTGAGTATTTGTGATTTGCGACTCCATAATTAACATTACATGACAGAACTTGCTGCAGTAGTTTTCTCCATTAAGCTATGATAGCACTCATTGTTGTACCAATTCTCAAGAGTGATGCCCTGTCCCTGGTGATCTGCAGGCTAAGGTAGCGCTGCAATTCACCGAGGTCTGTGCACTTGTGTCTCTTCTGCAGTTCGGATTTCACCTCAGTCAGAGCTGCCCTGTCTGCTGTAGCAAAGACCAAGTCGTCGACGTACACTAGTATAAAGAAAGGAGTGGAACCAGTGCAAAGAAACAGCGACGGGTCGGCAGAGGAAGGATGAAACACAAGGTCACGAAGCGTGGAGCGAAGAGTGTCGTGCCACTCACAAGGCGACTGGCGGAAACCGTAGACTGGCCGCCTCAGGCTCCACTAGGTCCCAGGTGGGAAGGTGTTAGTGAAGCTAGGAAGAGGGCGCAGCCAGATCTCCTCGTGTAGACAACCCCGGAGAAACGCAGTGGAGAAGTCAAGGGAGTGCAGCTCGTAGTCTCGTTGTGCTGCTACGTGCAGTAACACCCGAAGAGTAGCGGAACTAGCAACGCCAGTGTCAGCACCTCCAGCTCCAGCACCCCCAGAACTAGTACCTCCAGTACCAATACCTCCAGCACCAGCACCCCCAGAACTAGCACCTCATGTGCCAGCACCTCCAGCTCCAGCACCCCCAGAGCTAGTGCCACCTGCTCCAGCACCTCCAGCTTCAGCACCCCTCGAACGAGCATCCCCAGACCGAGTACCGCCAGTGGCTGCACCTCCAGCTCCAACACCAACCGAGTCCACAGTAACCTGTCGCGGAAGTGCCGAAGGCTGCTGAGAAGACTGTGAGGAATGCGGGGAGGGAGACGCTACCTAACGCGCGACCGAGGGTAGAGGGGTAGCGTGAGACACACCTGACGGGGGAGGACCAGAGGGGGGTGGGGGTACCGGAGGAGCGGAAGCAGGGGGGAGAGAGGGTGCGAGGAAGAGGGGGGGAGGGGGAACCGGAAGACCTCGACAGGGGTACCGGGTGTAGTAGGGCTTGTTAAGTAGCGGGTCAGTGCAGCCATAACCCAACAGGCCAGCGATCCTCTAACCCTTCCCTATGATCAATCGGGCATCCCCAGTGTTGGTTTTTAGACATCCCCTTGCACAGGGATGCCCTACAACGTCACCGCCAGCATGTGCACGCATGGGGGTTCGAACCCGAGATCTTTGCCATGATACCATCTCAAGAGTGATGCGTAGCGGAATGGTGAGACTAGGAAAGCAAGGTAATACAAATGTGAAACCCTAACTGAGTTGTACTCACCAAGGAGCACCTCACCACAACCTATAACAGATAATGACATTTGACACCAATGTCTACGCATTGACATGTTGGCTTTCGAAAACCATATGCATAGAGAACTGAATTTTTTAGTTCTCCCATATTTCATTATGTACCACACTGAGATGCCATCTAGCTGGGCAGGATATAGCAATACACAGCTTCTCCTTTTTTTTTGGGTTGCGAAGCAACCTATTACGATCGTTATGTACAATTTTTTTTTCATCCTCTGTGCATTGAAAAAATAAGGATGAAAAAAATCTACCGTAGTGTCGGTAACTAAGTGACTTGACAGTCGTATTTAGCACGTGCCGTACCAAATTCCTTCTCATTTCTTGGTTCGCCTTTGCCGAAATTATGTGTACTATGACACATGTGACGGTTAATTCCGTAATGCATATGCCGGATGATGTTATGCATAGATGAAGCATAATGATGATATGATGAACTAAATATTGAATGAAGAATGCATAATTATGCTGCATATACGACTGTGGTAATGAAATGAATGCATAGCATGATGAAAATGCGTCACAGTTAATTGATCCAGACCCTATGCTACCGCATCCCCTGTCTAGCATGGGGGGGAGCTCAATAGCATAGTTCCTGAATCAACCAGCTGTTACATGAAACAACACAATCTGTGCAATCTAAAAAAAGGTCAACTCTATCAAATCCAATTCGAATGGACACACTCACTGAGTGCGCAAAGAACCTTCTCGGAAATGATAGTTTGATCCATTTTTTTAAAACACACAGACATGTGTTATTAATGCAATGGAAGCATGAATGAAAGCACATGCGCACACAACATAACGAATACACACACGCACATAGACACATACAAACACATACACATATTCCCACACATTCACACAAACTAAAAACGCTCAATGCATCAACTGTTTAGAAAAAAAACCTAGGAGCAAAATTATACATTAGCAATATACATATAACCCTACACAGAACAATCTGTATCTTTGCACCATCCAGATTAACCTTCAGTTCCTGAAGAAAACAACAAGGCCTGTTAGGAAAGCATCAGCAACAGAAAGAAACAAGCAAGACAAATATGGAACAATGGGAATAAGATGCATAATTGTACGACAAAACGCAAAGATTCATAGCAATGACACAATACATATTCACGTGCTGAACTGATTTGATACATCCAATCTATGTCACTACTACGACACACTGTCAAATTATAATGTTGTCTAGGCTTTAGTGGGGTATCCCATATGGGGTACACATTTCTAGGGTTGCATATTTGTATCACTTTCATTCCATAGTCATTCCTCATTCTCGTTATAATTTCCTCATGGTATCGAGCAAGTTCCCCCGTGGGAACTGTGACTAGGGCCCACCACATCGAGTTTTTTTTTCCTGCCCGAAGCGCGCTCAGCCCGAGTCGCGCTCCGGGCTCTCACTTCGTCGAGCCGCCCTAGCGGCCCCGCAGCCCGTCGATTCGGCCCCACCGCCCTTCGCTGCGGCCCCGCCCCCCTTCGCTGCGGCTCCGCCGCCCTTCGCTGCGGCCCCGCAGCACTTCACTGCGGCTCCGCCGCCCTTCACTGCGGCCCCGCCGCCCTTCACAGCGGCCCCGCCGCCCGTCTCAGCGGCTCCGCCGCCCTTTGCTGCGGCCCCGCCACCTCTCTCGCTGCGGCTCCGCCGCCCTTCTCAGCGGCCCCGCCGCCCTTCGCTGCGGCCCCGCCGCCCGTCTCAGCGGCCCCGCCGCCCTTCGCTGCGGCCACGCCGCCCTTCGCTGAGGCCCTGCCGCCTCACATTGCAGCCCCGCCGCCCTTCCCTGCGGCCCCGCCGCCTCACACTAAGGCCCCACCGCCCTTCGTTGCAGCCCCGCCGCCCGTCTCAGCGGCCCCGCCGCCCTTCGCTGTGGCCCCGCCGCCTCTCTCGCTTCGGCCCCGCCGCCCTTCTCAGCGGCCCCGCCGCCCTTCTCTTCGGCCCCGCCGCCTCTCTCATTGCGGCCCCGCCGCCCTTCTCAGCGGCCCCGCCGCCCTTCACAGCGGCCCCGCCGCCCTTCACTCCGGCCCCGCCGCCCCTCCCACTACGGCCCCGCCACCTACCTTGCGGCCCCGCCGCCCTACCAGCGGCCCTACCGCCCTACACCGCCCGCGCCGCCCGAGCCGCCCGAGCCGCCCGAGCCGCCCGAGCCGCCCGAGCCGCCTGAGCCGCTGAGGAGCCGAGCCGCCCAAGCAGCCCGAGCCGCTCGACCTGCCCGAGCCGCCCGAGCCGCCTGAGCCGCTGAGGAGCCGAACCGCCCGAGCCGCCCAACCCGCCCGAGCCGCCCGAGCCGCCTGAGGAGCCGAGCCGCTGGTGCCGCGGAGCCGCAGTTGCTACTGAGCCGTCCGAACAGCTGTGTTGCCGTGTTGCTGTGCTACTAAGCTGCCCGAACCGCCCTGTCTGGTGAGAGCAGCGCTTCTGTCACTACACTGCCCCTGTCTTACAGTTGGTACTGCTAGTCTACTGTTGTCATGGCTACCCCTAGTGTCCTTGCATTTGACGCTGAGGGTTGAGCCATTGACTTTGAGGTCTGGGTCGACGACCTGCAGTTGTTCTTACAGTGCGATAGGGCAGACGGTCTCTCTCTCTTTGACCTCACCTCTGGCGCCTCTCCTACCCCTGCTGCTGATGCTGACCCCACTGTTCGCTCCCAGTGGGCCACGCGCGACGCTGCTGCACGTCTTGCTGTGCGTCGCCACCTGCCTACCACTGAGCGCGCGCACTTTAGTCAGTACAAGAGTGCTCAGACCTTGTACAACGCTGTAGTTGCGCGCTACTCTTCCCCTGCCACTACTGCACTGAGCCGCCTCATGCTACCGTACCTCTTCTTTGACCTTGCTGCCTTTCCCACAGTCCCGGACCTCATTACGCACCTCCGCACTAGTGACACTCGCTACCGCGCCGCGCTTCCTACTGAGTTCTGCGCCAAGCACCCCCCCCCCCATGTACATCACTCTCTATTATATAGTCACCCGCCTCCCTGACTCCCTTCGTGTAGTCAGGGACCACTTCCTCTCAGTCTGTCCCACCACTCTCAGTGTTGACCTCTTAGAGAAGGCCCTCCTAGCAGCGGAGAAGAGCATAGTCGCTTTAGGAGCCTCTTGTGGTGACCCTCGC